AAAGGAGCTATATAAGGAGCTCTGGTAGCATAGTGGTTACAAATCAGGCTGCGAACCTCATATATATAAAATGCAATTGTGGGCTCTAGCTGGGAAAATCCGAAACCTGTAGTGCAGGTAGAAACTGACACTGTAATCCATATGGAAAATTTTATTTTTTCACTGGGAAACCTCAGATTTGTTCTTAGGGCCTTTCAACTGATAAGGATAAGGTCCACCCATATCACTGAGGATAATCTCCTTTACTTAAAGTAAATTGGCTGTAGGTGTTACACATCTACAAAATAACTTCACAACACCTAGTTTATTGTTTGTTTAAGTAACTGGGTATTGTAGTCTAGAAAATTTGACGCGTAAAACAGCACCCTGTGAGAAAAATGGGGGCGGAGTGTAGGACCCTATCCAGAGAAGCAGCCACTCCAAAGATGGAGGCAGAGATGATGATGTGGAGAGATGGAGCGACTTGGGACTCTAGACTCAAGGAGGGAGAGGGCGGTGTGCTGGCAGCCAGAGGGCAGACTTACAGGGTATGCCCTTTGGGTCTTTGAATGATTGCATATTCCTTAATGTTTTGGTGCACATCCAAAAACAACAACAAAATAAAATAAAAACAGAGGGAATAGAAGCAAATGCTGTTGAATTGATGCATGGAAGGGATTGTAATCATTTTAATGAAACCAAATATGATAGGGTGAGTGTAAAGCTGTTGTTCTCCCATGTAAACTATCACTCAATTCACAATAAAAACTTTAAAAACAAAACCAAAAAACCCCAGCATCTTGTACATCCCCTCTCATTAATCTTGCATTTTATTGTAATACAGTGTTTGGGAAGGCGTTTCATAAGGGCCAGTCCTATGTGTGTCTTGTCCACTACTTTAATACCCCATGTGTGGCACATGGAAGTTCAAGAGATGAGTGAATGCATGAAGGAGAGAACAAAGGACAGGCAAAGGGAAACAAGGTGAGAGAGGCCTGCCAATTCCAGAAGCTCTGGTTTTGAGGACATCAGCTGTGTTGAGACACTTGACTATGCAAATATTCTCTGAGAAGGAAACTATTGTACCTAGGCTGTTATTATCACTGCCTGGCAAGACACCCAGACAACACCAGGACTCTCTGACTCAACCCCTGGGGCTTGTCATACTGGTTTAACCTCATCAGGTCCTTAAACGACAGGATTTCTGTCCAAAGGCCCGCTATCCTTTCCTTCAATTGGTACAAAACATGCCATGAGGGACCATCCAGTTCACTTTTCATGCCTTCTTTCCAATGGCCAGTTTCACCTGCTCTTGTTATTGCCATTTTATTCATTCTAAAATAACCTGTTTCCAGGAACTCACTGCCACCCAAAATGAACCTCAGAATGTTTTCTGGCCGGGTTTCCAGAGCACAAATCCTTTTCTTCCCTGAAGGGATCCCTGAAACTGAAAGCCTGTTCAATTAGTCCTTGTCAGTCATCCTGACTGCTTGTTGTCTTCAGGGGTCTGGAAGGATTGGAGAAAATCCTAAATCAATAAATATACTTAAGTAAATTATCAAACGCAAATAATCATATTCTTAATGTAGACTATCAACGTTATCCTGTTACAGCAGTTTTTAGATTCGAGAGTGTCACAGCAGCCCTAGGCCAGAGAGTGTAGCTCCTAGACCAGAGGGTGTCTCCTAGGCCAGAGAGTGTAGCTCCTAGACCAGAGGGTGTCTCCTAGGCCAGAGAGTGTAGCTTCTAGGTCAGAGGGTGTCTCCTAGGCCGGAGAGTGTAACTTCTAGGCCAGAGAGTGTAGCAGCATCACAGCACCTCTGAGCTTGAGCGTGCCACTGCAGCTCTGGATCCAGTGGTGTTGCGGCAGCTCTGAGTCCAAGGGTATCTCTGCAGCTCTTGATCCATCATCGAAGGAACCAAGGCCACTCGGAGAGGTGAAGCAGAGTTTCAGATTTTATTAACCCGGCTTGATCAGAGGAGCTGATTCCTCCAAATTCTGAGCCTTGAGTGAAGGGTAACACAGGCTTATATGGGGTCAGACTTGCAAGGGGGACGGGGGAGATGCAGATGAGTTTGAGGACAGGAGGGAAACTAGGGGGATTAGCATTCTAGATTGTCTCCTAGATGGGGAAGATTGGTCCCATTCAGTAACCTGATTAGCATTCTAGCTTGTCTTCTGGGTGGGGAAGATTGGTCCCATTCAGTAACCTGATTAGCATTCTAGCTTGTCTTTTGGGTGGGGAAGGTGCAGTTAATGTTTTACCATTCCTGTTCAATTCCTACTATAATATCCTATGTTAACTATCAAGATTATACCTATTATATGTCTTTAGTAGATTATGCAAATAATGCTAATATCCCTACTGAGGGAGGGGTAGATGAATCCACACCAATTTGATGGAAACTCCCTAGAATTCTTAGACACCCCACCAAAGTGATCCTGTTGGGTGTGTCCCCTTTGAAACTTCATATAAAATCATGGGGATGGCCTGGTGTGTTCATCCTGCAGGACTCTCTGTGCTGACAGCCTCCAACTGACTTAGATACAAAAAATTTCCCATGGATAGTAGTGAAAGAAAGAGAGAAAGCAGAACTTCTCCAACAAGGAATATAGAGGAGTTTGGAATCCATAACAATTGTTGTTGTTATGTGCTGTGGAGACAGTTCTGACTCATAGCGACCTTGTACAGGGTTTCCGAGGCTGTAAATCTTTATGGGAGCATAAAGCCTCATCTTTCTCTCGAGGAACAGCTGGTAGTTTCAAACTGCTGACCATGAGATTAGCAGCCCTTACAGCCTTGTAATTACAGTCTCTAGAGCCCTTCTCTGCCTATCGAGTCGTTTTTTATGAATCGTAATCAACAGGACAGCAGTTTCTTCGCTTTGGTGTGTGTGTGTTTGGGGGTGGGGGGAGCAGAGAACCCAGGACCACCCTGTGATTGCCACATATTTAGAATTGAAGAGTATGAATAATAATACTATTTAATTGAGAATTCTGTAAAATTGCTCTCACTTTTATTTTTCACTTGAGAAAACATGCCTGAGTAGAATCCCTGTAAGTCTTTTTGGATAGTTTGTTTTCCTTCCTGAGTTTACTGTGATGTTCTCTTT